AGTCAAAGCTACTAGAGCAATGTATGCACTGTTGAAAGCAATGCCAAGAGAGACTGACTGTAGAACATTTATGCACCTTTTTCAGAAATATGTATTAAACCAATTTTGTTATATGGATCAACAACTTGGGGACATGACATACAGTACAAGACAATAATAGATGGGACAAAACACCAATTGAACAGTTACATTTGAAATTCTGCAAAAAATACTAGGTGTGAGTAAATTCTCCTCAAATGCAGCATGCAGAGCTGAACTTGGTAAATTTCCATTACTCTTAGATATTCAGGAAAATCTTATTAAATACTGGTATCCTATTAGTGCCTTACCAGACAGTAATATTACAAAACAAGCCTTTGAAGAACAAAAACAACAAAATTTATGAAAAAACATGGTCTACGATAATACTACAAACTTTTCCTCGTCTGTCATACCTCAAAAATTACCACACGGTAAAATAAAAAACATTCGACAACGGTATGTAGAGTTCTGGAAGTTGAGTGTAACAGATGATAATAGAAAACTGAGAATGTATATAAAGTTTAAAGACTCGTACTCTTTTGAACCATATTTGCTTTTATGTAATCTGAAACATAAAATCATAATGACTCGTTTCAGAATAAGCAGTCATGTATTAGAAATTGAGAACCCAAAATTCTTTTAGAAGACAGAATTTGTAAGCAATGTTCCCAGATCAAAATTGAAAATGAAGAACATTTCTTCATGGAATGTCTTAGGTACCAAACAGAAAGACAAAAGTTATTTAAAAATATCAATATTCCAGAAGAATTGAAAAGTGATGACCAGATATTTAAATATATTATGAGTTCAAGAGAAGATGTAATAATAAGACAAGTTGGTGAATACTTGTACAAAATATTTAAAATCAGAAATAAGAATAACTGACATTTTACTTTTACTTTAGTTTTATATGTATTGTACTTTATTACTAACATTTTATTGCTGTCAACCAATGGAAATTATTATTATATAAGATGATGAGGTGCATTCAAAGTTGCAATTTTAGGTTAAATTCTGTCCATATAGTATATAGATTGCCTATTGTAATTACCTAATAATTCACAAGTTTTCTGCTTTTCCATCAATATCTCACATTTCAATGAAACTTGGAATGTAGATGATTAATTTTGGCATCCATAATAATGGCTATTGGCATACACAGACCTAATTTATTTTGGGTTGCCTAATTGTCTACCTATATCTCAAAAAACAATTATTGTAATTTAATAAGCCTATATAAGAGCCTGGGAACAATGCAGACTAATTGCCTAATTTGCATAATGTGCTTAATCATCAAACATTAAATGCGGTTCATAGATAATCTGGGGGTAATTATTACTAGCCAATTTCTGATATCTCAAAAAATGATTTTTTTTCACAATGTGCATCTCAAATAGCAGACAAATATTAGTTGCCAAGTTTCTCGTTTGAAGGGGTAATCTTAAATTTGAATTACTTTTGAATATGTCTCAGCATACATGAGTTCTTTCTAAGCTTTCTTTGATATTCTATTGTTTCCATCCATGCAAATAGTTGTTTTCTGTTTTATTTTTAAGCCATTCTTCCTTTCATGAAAATACAAATAATAGTACAATAATTAATATAGTGTTTGTGTACCTTCACACAGATTAGGTGAGATTCAACTAGGTGATGTGGTGTGTGACCCCATGTGTGGCTGTGGCGCCATACCTATTGAGGTAAGGTGACGCTTAGGAATCGAAAATCCATAGCTTATAATGAACACTTCAATATAAAAATTAATACTGGTAGTGCCTGGCTTATATTCAAGTCAACAGGAGTAACTGTGATAGGCTCAAGAGCCAGTAATTCTCACAATTCTGCAAAATTTGTATGTACACCTTGCATCCAGTTACTGAGCACCTATACCCTGAAAAACAAGCTATGTACGTAGATATACACGTATATGAATATTCACCAATGAGATTGTCCAATGGTATTGTACCAATAAGGTTGCCCAATGGAATTGCACCAATGAGATGACCCCAGCGTGATTGACTTATGACCAGGAAGTGAATATAGCATTGCATTGTGGGTCTGATGTATATTTATCTCCCCCAGGGAGTGCTGAACTGGCCAGGAAGCCTTCATCTCTGTGGAGACGGTAATGAGTACCCCTGTTCTCATTCTTTAAAAAACATCACAGCAATCAATGAGACGAGAAAAGAACAAAACAGGTAACTTTATAATCATGTTACTTGTTGTTAAATTGTTTGTACTTTAATTCATGTCTGGTGAAATAACCGCTGTATAATATATTGTGTACTGTATTTAGTCTGTAGAAGTGCTTGTCCAGTGGAGATGCATGTGTATATTTATGGTGGGCATATAGTACACTGAACGCACACTGTATAAGTGCAAGTTATCTTAAAGGGGCACCTTCCAGTTAAGCCTAATCTCACAACAAATTTACTTTTTGGATTTCTGGAGCCTAGATGACAATATGTGCTCTGACCTGGGCAATATCTATCAAATCTAATGTATTGATTCTTCATGACAGACTTCCAGTTAGTGTGGACATTGTACAATGGGATGTCTGCCAACTGCCACTGAAAACAAACTCTATTGATGTGTTTGTCTCTGATTTGGTAAGCATGCAATTTCACTCCAAAGACATGAGTAGTATAGATCATTGTTAAGCCTTCACACTGCTATTATTAAGCCTTCACACTGCTATTGTTAAGCCTTCTCACTGCTATTGTTAAGCCCTCTCACTGCTATCCTTAAGCCTTCTCGCTGCTATTAAGCCTTCTCGCTGCTATTGTTAAGCCTTCACACTGCTATTGTTAAGCCTTCACACTGCTATTGTTAAGCCTTCTCACTGCTATTGTTAAGCCTACACACTGCTATTGTTAAGCCTACACACTGCTATTGTTAAGCCTTCACACTGCTATTGTTAAGCCTTCACACTGCTATTGTGAAGCCTTCTCACTGCTATCGTTAAGCCTTCTCGCTGCTATTGTTAAGCCTTCTAACTGATTAAGCCTTCCATCTTCTCATTGAGTTTTGAGTTCCCTGAATGCTAGGTGTAATACTGAGCATTTAAGGTAGATATTTCACAATACCAATTTCAGTTTTAGTATCAAACATGTTGATTTTGTATTGCAAAGGCGTCCAGGCTGTCTTTGGAAGTTTATGAAAAACTCATATTTTCATTTGTAGGTGAAGCTGACAAAATAACATCTTAATATCTGTATGTTATTTTATCTTGCAACCAAGCAACCAGTTATAAAATCGCCCCCCTTTCTGTTACAAGTTCTGTTACAGCACACTTGTTGAACTGTACTTCCAAAGTGTTTATCTGTATTTTATAATTTATAGTTTATGCTTTGTTTTTCAGCCTTTTGGTAAAAGGTAAGTGTTTCATTACTTCTTTCGATAATGTCAATCCATGACAAAGACTACCAAACGATTTATACATACCCTACTGTGTATGGATCACATTTATTCATCAATGTTAAAATCAGGAAATTGAATGTTGCCCATGACTGATGTTGTTTGCATTATAGGAGCGGTACTCGTAGACGTAACTGGGATCTGTACCACAGGGGTCTGGTAGAGATGGCAAGGGTGTGCAAACCAGAGACTGGGAGAGCTGTGTTACTTACGCATGACAAGAAATGCATGATGAAGGTGAAATTTCCATTTGTAATATTCTAATCACCATAGTAACAATTCAAGTGTAGCATCTTTTCATGTACACTGCTCTGTGTCAAAGGTCGCCTGCTCATGAAGTAACTGAATTGAGTGTGCAGAAATATTTGGCTGTGTTGTCATGATACATGTAGTAGAATTTAATTGGTTAGATTCGGGGGGAGGGGCTGCATGATATGATTGGTCGTAATATTAGTCTCATTTACATAAATAAATAATTCATAAGCAATGAAAAACTTATCTTATCAGTAAAATTGTGTCAAAATGCTTTCCTATAGCATACATGATAGTTCTGAATTGACTGATTCTATCCACAGGTTTTTTCTTCAACATTAGTCATGGAGATTGCATTGGTCAGTTGATATTTCGCTGTAGTACTATTTCGCTGTAGTGACAAGTTACCTAAATAGTATGCATTTCCATAAATCACTGTGTGTGTGTGTGCATGTGCAGTTTGAAATGGAACAGTTTTGAACGCAATATGTTTCTATATTTTGTTGAGAATTATTCTGTAAAGAAATTGCTGATGGGCAGCGCCCTCTCGTGCCAATCCCCCCTCACCCCGATTAGATTAGTATACTACTTTTGTCATTAAAGGTGTGAGTCAACAAAATCTAGTGCGAATACTTTTTACCTTGCCATAACATTGTGGATGCATGGAGGTAAAAGTCTTTCCTTGTTGTTGTCACTGTTGTCAACTTGATAGTAAAACTTTTTCTTTTGATTTAAATAACAATTTTATCCAATTTCTTTAAAACATGAATATTGCATTAACTCAGCCAAGTTTGATTTTAGTGTGTATTCTATGTAATTGGGTAAATATCACTAAAAATAGTCTTTTCCTTGTGGTTATAATTTTTAACTGATCAACTTTAAACGTTCTTCAAAGACAATACATGACATCATAGTAACATGACAGAGATAGATGTATCTTTGGCCAAACCAAAGTCATATTTTAATGCAGTTTTTGATTCATGTGTAGATATGCTTATAAAAATTACTGTATGCCAATTTAGATTTGGTCAATCAAATATCAATGTCTGTAAAAAAAATACTATCAATATTTTGTTCATTTTCAGACCCTATCATTGTGTCACAATCTATGGAGAAGTAAGCGTACAATATGGATAAACCAAGGGGGACTGCGAGCTGGAGTTTACCTATTACATCGAGCTAAAGCTTCATAGGATAGGCAAGCTAATACCATCAGAGTACTTATATCCATGGTAGTATTGACCTTTTTGAGATGACCATGCAAGTTTTAACTGAGATGGTAATAAAGAATAACATAAAACTCAATCAGTGTTTTAGTATATAATCATAGCCAAAGTTCCTGCAGCATAGCAAGTGTGTGAGAGTGTGAGGTACACCCAGAAATTGTTATTCAATATCTGGTTTTCATGGATCTGTCTGATACTGCGGCCCTGGAATTTCTGTTTCTGCAATAAAGTCCAACAATGCAGTTTACGAGGTGGGTGGGGCTACACTGAGGGTCCTGCCAGTTTCATGTGGGTGGGCGGGGGTGTAGGCCTATGGGGAAGATAGCTCAGTCCATGTGTGTGGTAATAAATACAATAGGATTCTTGTTCCCTTCAGGACCAGTTAGATATCTGGTTCCTGACCAGAGGATGACACTGGGGTTAAGGTTTGAAGTAATCCAGGTTTGACAACTCGCAGAGTTACTTGTAGGATATGGAGGGATGAAAACAATATACTACTAGTACTTGATTTGTTAATTAACTCCCTCAGGCACACTGGCTTTTTGATAAATAGTGGCCCTCTGGGTCCAGCCATACTCCATATTATTCTATCAATATCAACCCTAATTGAATCTTATATCTGGCAAAGTATCAACTGTTTTGGAATTCTCAAACTGGTAGTGTGGCCAGGTTGTATAATGTCAAAACAAGTCTTTTTTGGGAAGAATACAAATTAATATTAAGTTGAAAAGAAACTCAGACATGAAAATAAAATATTTTATTCAAATGTAATTCCTGGACTTATAAGCTGTTGGTATATTTATTTAGTATTTCAGATAAGGCTTTGTTATCATGAGTGACATCTACATGCAAATCACCTGTTAAACACATTTAATATTTTATAAATACTTTTCTATAATTTGTTAAATTATGGAAAATATATGCAAGTTTATTTTGTAAAAAGTAATTTGGCATTCACCCCAATGGATAAATAAATACACTGTAGCTGCCAACAGTTTGAGTTGGCCATTCAAAATGTTTCATTACTATAGTAACCAATAACTGGTGAAGTGATCAGTTGAGCTTATACTACAAAGATTAGTATTCTTTTTACCTCCATGTATTGATTAACAAACAAACTGGTTGATCACAGTTGAAACATCATTATTCCCTTTTTGTTGATTTCCTATTCAAACAACTTTAAGTTTTGTCTACTTACCATATACAATGTACATGTAATATACAAATACATTCATGTAATGAAAAACTAAAATATATGCTATTTTTTCTGTCACCGAAATAAAATGCTTTTATCACAGAATTAAAGGAATTAAGTTATCCCACAGAAAATTTTGTGAATATTAAAATGACCCACTTTATATAATGAAAGTATGAATAGCTGCTGGCAATGAAGTTTTACTTTGAAATTCATTTTCAGAATCTTAATAAGGACTATAACTAGACGCCCACAAATCCTAAAAATGAAACTTATAACAATTGCATACATTATGAAAGGAAGAATATTTGAATACAAGAAAGTTATTATTGGACATTTACATATCAAACTAAACGATGAATTTTGAAAATGTAATTTGTGTCATACTTCATCAGGTAAAACACAATATAGTGACAAATTATCTGTCCCACATTTTTGTTAAAACAATGAACATTTTGCAGTTAGAACAGTAAACGTGTTACAGGAAGTTTGAAAGTTGTAACATGTATATGTCAGAGTCAGCCATGGAATAAAAACAACTGGGTAGAAAATATTCTGGTGTTGTAATAACAAATCCACACATCACCAGCTGATCAGTTATTTTGGCTATCTATGGAAGCTTTCATCAGGCACTGTGTTAAAACTATTCAGTGTTAATATTCAAAGGGAGAAAAAGTGTCAAGTACAATACATAAAACACCAAAGCTATGATTGCAAACCATATCTCATACTGTAATTACTAATGCCGATGCCTGCAGCATTAAAATTTGTACTTAAAAATTGATGCAATAAATAAATTAATTAAAAAACAAACTCCACAGTCACAAATAAATACATGCCATGGTTTAATAATAATAATTGTTACACTTTGCATATTAAAATTTGTATATATTATTAAAAATTTCATTCATAATGGAGGGAAGGTTTCAATACTGAATATGCATCTTATGTACATTCATAAAAAATATAATTCCAACTCTTAGATGAAGTAGTTTTTCCGAAGTACTGACATATATTGCGAATTTGCTTTATCTAGCGGTGAAAGACTGCCATTTTTAGAATCCCAGTTGTTTGGCATGTTTTCCTGCATAACTCCTGGACTTGTATCTAATGAACCTGAAATAGAACAAGTAATTGCATTACAAGTTAGAACATTCAGAGATTCAGCTATTTTAAATCAAATTGTAAAGCCAAATGATCTGCAGATGCATCTCAAGATGTATGTACGTGTGACAAGATACAGCAGGATATGCATAAAGGTTTCCGCACTAATGAGTTATAATAAACTGATGGTTCTAGTATCATTGAAAATCCCGATGTAGTACATCCAGTAAATATGTAATATAACATACCTAAATGGCGGGCAATACTTCTATCCAGCTCATTTCGAACCTGTTATGAAGAAAAAATATTCATTAATAGAAAGGTCCCCTAGAAACACAATAGAAAATTTAAGTCTTTGGTGTTCACTGCATTATTCAAAGTTCAACATTTTTCAAACTAAGTATTGTCTGTAATTAATATGCAAACTGGTCACTTGCCTTTTGTGTTATTGGATCTACACTGGCAGTCCCCATACCAGGCTGCATAAAACTACCGCCAAGATCTGGACTGTTTTCTGCCAAATGCCGACTTCGCTGTCTTTCCATGCTACATGAGAGAAGAGAAAAAGAAAATAAATCTCAATGGAGTACATGTAAGGGTGTTTTTTTTTCGCCTGAGTCGCCATGGGTGAATATACCATGTCAAATTCCTGACAGAAAAATAATAATGCCAATATTCAAGAAGGAAACAGAATTTCTGTAAAGATATAGCACGAGCATATCCAACAACCTTGTTTACATCGCCATCTTTAAAGTTAAGTCACCTAATTGTGAAAAATCAAGGTAAATGAATACCGGTACTAATTAGGACAGTATATATGGTGTTTGGATTTTTTATGTTCTAATGTGTATTGACAGTGATTTTATGTAGTATGAGGTTGTTGCAAGGATGCAAGCAGACAGTACAGTGAGTGAGTGAGTTCAACAGTGTTCCGTATTTGGAATTCACATTTTCTAATATGCATGCAACACATTCGTCAACAGTCAAACACAGTGTGTTAATCATATGACCAACTCGTACAATGCTTTTATACAAACTAACTGACACTTACCTGAGTTGAGCTTTAGCATCTGTCATTTTCTCAGTTGCTCTTTCCAGTTGGTCGGTTAATTTCTCTCTCATTCTCAGTTCACTCTCGTATAATTCCTGCATACAAAATGAATCACGTCACCATGGTTACAAATTAGAGGAAAGCATCATAGGCTTTATAGATAAAGATGGCCGGAGTGTTCTATTTATTTTTAATTCACACTGTTAATTGTTCAAAATTCTTGAACAAATCTATTTATTTTGTACTTTTAGTATATTTTGTTTTTTCAAAAGAAATATTGATTTCTCTGGTCGCACAACAGTTGAAAATGTCACAGCTTTGTTTTTATGCTAAATACAGCGTAACTATTACAACCTTGTCCATTGAGAATCTAGAATAGATAACAAATGGATGAATGGATACATAAACAAACTAACGATACAATATCTTTTCTTTGCATGACCTTTACTTGGTACAAATCATGGTTTTAGACAAAATTTAGTTACAGAATGGTAAATAAAAAAAAGAGGCATTTTTGAACAATTTCTATAGGAGGTCACGTAAGATAAAAATGAAATTTCTGAATATCACTTCTCCATTTCAAAAACTGGTCCCCCTAGCTATAAATTAATTCACATCAATTTTACACTTCTAATGGTAAAACATTAATTGTTCATGTTTTTCATACAGCTCTTATTAACACATGCTGCTTTACTACACTATTCAGATAATAATATATTTTATAATTTTTCAATTTCATGGAGTATTAATAATTTTTTGAAAATCCTTGCAAACTTAGTATATACCACACTTTTTTTTTCAATATTTAGGTCAGAAATTATAATTTTTCAATTCTACCAAAATCTGATAAATGGTAAAGGAGCAGGCACTAGAGGGTTTGACAGTGGACTTGTGAAGATTTGTTACCTTGAATCTCTGAGCTTCTGCTTCGTGAGTTTCTTTCTGTACAAGACTCTCTTGATTAGCTGCTTTCATTCTAGCTATGTCAGTCTGAAAAGAAAGCCTTGAATTATGAACTGAACCTCAATACATGCGTACAGACAAATATATTGACAACTACATTATCAACTACCGACTGAATTACACCTTTATGTCTGTGTAGGTATGCATGGCAAGGTGAAAGTTTATGGTATGACAAGTCTAGGTTCAAAATGAAATTATTAAATAGTAAGTACCAAGAAAGATATAAAGCACACCTACAAATTGTGTACGTGGCTAAGATGAAAAATAAATAAATTCAACTTGAAAAAAAGATTCACATACTATAGCATGTTTATATATTTCAGTGATTTTGATTCTGCCGTCAATTGATTTCCAGAAAGGAAGAATGATTTTAAAACAGATAACCAGCAAACAGACAAGATTCACTCCTTACCCTCATATCATTCAATTGTTTTTCATGATCACTTTTCATCCTGATTTCATTAGCGTCTCTTATTTGGTCTAATCTCTCCCTGGCCTGTGCCTACAAACAATATAACATGAAGCAATTAACACAGAGAATTATTTACAAAGCACATATTACAGTACTGTAAAATACTTTATTTTAGCTGGAATTAATTTTCACTGATTTTTGACAAGTTGAATGTAAAATATAGGAAAAAAGGTATATTCGCTGGATTTTACTTTCACTGAATCATCCCTTCAGCAAAAATAGCGAAGATTAATTCCAAGTATTTTACACAATATAATATACATGTATACTGTAATATGGGCTTTGTAAATAATAAATTTATATATTATATAATATGTGCTTTGTAAATATATTTAAAAACAAAATATTTTTGTGTCAGACATCAGTTCTAGACTCTGAGTGTCTCTCCTGAACTGCAAAGGTACAAAAAAAAAACTGTGAGTGACTGAAACTTTATAGTCAGTGGCTAAAATGGCCTCATTACATACTCAGCATTTAGATTGATGAGATTATAACCATTTATATACTGAGTATTTGTTACTGTTTCATATTAAAGTTATTCTTAGTTGAAGACATCATGAACAGACATGTGGCAATCAACACATGTCATGATTTATTCACAACCACCATCTCAGAAGTAAGATTTACATGATTGTCTCACCTGCTCTTCCAGATAGTTGTTTACTTCTTCAAGTTTTTTATTAACTTCTTGCCTGGCCTGAAACAAAAACAGGATGTTTATTATAAATTTAAATTATAACTTTTTTTAAAATATCAAGACAGAAATTTCTTTTTTTTCCATTTAATTTATAATTACCTGAGATTCTACACTTTGTTTGAATTTATCCATTTCATCTTTCTCAATAAATTCATTTCCTAAACTTGACTGGAAAATAAAACAAGAATTGTCAGTGTTAATCAACAAGAATAAAATCATAGACTACTGTAAAAGGGTTAATTATTCACTGGGTTTTAATTTTGCTTATGTCACTGACTGGAAAATGCGCTAATTTAAAACCCAGTGAATATGTAAAATTAGCATAGAACACATTATCTAAATGATAAAACAGTGTATTTAAAACCCACTGAATATTCCTGATATGGTAAATCAGCGAAATTTAAACCCAGTGAAAATTAGTCATTTTACAGTAATTATTTCTTTCTTATTTATTAAGACCAATTCAACTGTTTGTCATCCATCTGAGTTGATGTGCATATGTGTGTCTGTATATGTTTGCTTGACTGTGTGCATAAAGGTATGTCTGATTGTGGAATAAGGTTTAATTGGTACTTCAAACAAAAATATAAACTTGACACATAATATATAGCACAGAAAATGTCAAAAGGAATAGGTTTCAAACCACTTAGTTTAAAACTTTCTGAATACTGTAACATTTTGTTAACTCATCTACTGGTAGTGGTAAAAAGAAAATAATTCCAGCTACCGGTACTTGAGCTAAAACTACTGTCAACTCACCTTGACTTTGGAGAGTTGATCCTGCAACTTTTTAACAGCCTTCTGTAGCTTTTCATTTTCCTTAAAATGATAAATAACAAAAATTGGAAATAATAATAGTTAAGTTTCGCTCAATCTTTTCCTTTTTTTTTTTAAATAGGAATGCTTTGTCACAGACTCCAGTTTTAAAATTCTGTGAGGAGAACCAACAAAACGAGGCTGTGCATCCTTGCATCATAATGGCATTTTAGCAATTTAATGCTGTCATTACTTATCTACATATAAATGTTGCTCATTTCATACAACAGAAAAGCAAAATGTGCAAGTGCAATCTTATTATAAAAGCTTACCCGTTTCATGTTTTTGGTTGAGCTGAGTTCTACAATAAAGCAAACAAAACAAACTAAGTTAATTTGAAATGCTGTATTTATTGTGAATAAATATTATATAGTTATTGGCCTCGCCGGAGGTCGATATCAAGAATTATCGTCCCCAAGTGGCTGTTAATGGCCGAAGCGAAGTTTTATTACCCCAAAAGAAAACAGTAAGCTAAATAACAGTGTAAGTCAAAGTGCAAACTTGCTCAGTTAAAATCAAAATTATCCCCTAGTGAAAACATGCATTCAAAAGTATCATCCATCCTTTTTATCATCAACAACAATCTAAATGTCCCGGGTGTTATGACATTAGAGCCAGTAACACACAAAATGACATCAGAGGTGAGAAATATGCTAAGAGAGGCCAATATCAATATTTATCAAATAATCATGTGACTACTTTTGACCAATAACATTGACTGTCTCATACTTGAGGTTAATAATCATGCAAATGAATCTACTACACTACACTAGGACTGTTGTGATTTGACAGTAATACAGTATTGATAAATCATCAAAACTTCAATCATTCTGTACAAATGAGGAAACAAACAAACTCACCATTTTGCATCTGTCGGTGGCTGGCTTCCACACTGGCACGCATATCATTCTCTAATTGTAACTGATGGTTTATCTCTTCATTCTGACGACGCAGACTACCGATGGTGTCGTCAAACGTTCTGCGTTCGTGGTCCATGTCTGCCTGTATAGACTTAATACGCATCTCTGGGGCTTCTAAATCCTACAATAAATTCACACAACTAAAGTTAGTAAGTTTGATACATTTTTACCTAAAACTCTCTGGTTGCTTAGTAACCATGTACACAACAATGTTGATCATGACAGCAGCCAAGTAGGGGACTCAAATCTTTCCTCCCCCTCCCTCTGTCATGGATGTGTACAATTTTTACACACTCTTTATATATTCATCATATATATATATAATTTTTGCCACGTAGGTAGATTTCCTGATATCCACTATGACTCGCTGTTTCAAAGATCTGAAAGATAAGTTTACTGCCACAAGTCATTGTGGCTCAATTAAAGTGTCCAATGATCAGTTTATTACCACAAAATTTTCATTGTCCCCCCGATGCATTAACATTTTGTCTTTTGCAAAAACAAACTTTATTTTATTGCAAAGTGTAAACACATAATAGATTTCAAATACTTCCTACCTTCAGTCGTTTTTTTGCCGATTTCAGTGCTGCTTTCAACATATTGATTTCTTTCTGTTGTTGTTTATTTCTAAAGTTAAAAAAAAACTAAATACATTCAGTTTTTATACCGGAATGCTGTAACAATTTATTTTTTTTGCAGTTTTCAGCTACCGGGGTATGTTAAGTTTCTACTAGTTTATGCATTGTTTAAAAGTGCTATGAAAACCAGTGTGGCATCTTTGTAATTGCAAGTAGTTTTAATTATACTGTGACCATTTCATTAAAGTTTGCAAGAATCTTTATCACATTTAAATATTCTGTATGTATTTATTTTCACACAAAATGGACTAGGCAAATGAATATAACTACGGTAACAAGTACAGGAAAGCATGAATGGCAAGCACGCTAAAAACTCGTTCCTGCTCTGCCAATCTCAAAAAATGACCTACTTTTGTACTTCCTGTTCAACCTTAGCATCCGCTTGTCGCTTCAACTCCAGTGCTTTCCTTATTTTCATTTTCCCCTGATAATAAACAACAACAATTAATGAAGTTGAAGATGCAAGCAGAGAAACAAAATTTTCCCTTTCATGTCTAAGTGTTATATCTAATAATTATTAGATATAAATCTTTCCATTTTCATTCATTCATTATTTAAATATTGCAGGGGGGGGGGGCTATGCAATGACTTGAACTTACCTCGCTCACTTGATCTTCCACACCAGTACGTGCTCTCTCCAGCTGAGCCATTCGCAATCCCAATTTGGATCGCGACTTGACTTCATTTTCCCATAGTCCTTTGTGATCTTCGGCTTCCCTCGCATACAGACTTCGTGCCGCAACCTCCTCACTCAACTTATCTTCCAAGTGAATGTTTGCACTCTTAAGATTAGCCACCAGAGCTTCTAGACTGCCACGCACCTTCTGTGAATCTTGTAAGTCTTGTTCCAGCATCGAGATTTTTTTAGTATCATGATCTGTGTTTGACAACAGTTTTGTCTTTTCAATCTCAAGCTGGTGCATATTTTCTTCCAATTCTCGTTTCTTCTCAATGAGTTCCTGGGCCTTGACGAGTTCTTGTGTTGTGTCCTGTAAGGCTTTCTCAGCCTGTTCCAGTCTACTCTGCAGGTCTCCCGTTCGGTGACCCAATTCTGCCCGATCCTTCTCAGAATCAATAAGCTGAAATGGAACATATTAGATGTCAAGTTCCGTAATGCTACGCATGCTGTATTGTTATACATTGTACTTACCAACACATTATATAAAGTAATAATTTTTCATGAACACAGAAATATGATACCGGTACCACTAATTTCAGCAAACTAATAGCATTAACTACCAGTCATAGCATACATTTCATCATTAAATAACTATCCAGTTATTCACTGAAATGCACGAATTGGTAAATTTGTGTGTAATACATGCTTAAATCAATCATAGCTGTGAGACTGGCCATATGGTAGAGAATACATATTCTTGTAGATTTCATAGTACATTTCATTGCAAAGACAGCATTGGTAACATGTGTATAACACAATGCGAGTTTAACAACAGCATAGATTAGGTGTCAGCTTTCTGGGATCAGAATGACCAATAACTATTGTAGCATCAATCTCGCACAAACTTGTGCTGCTGACATTGCACACCCTGAATTCAACAGGTGTGTGATGAATATATTGTGTATAAATACAGGGACTCACTTTCATATGCAGAGAAAAATGTTCAAGACTCATCAAAGCATACCAATGTTACCCTTAGTGTACAGATGATAGACTGAAGTCATCACTCGAGAAGTACTGAGGGCAGTGTAGTTGTGGGATGTTGAGTACAATTGAAAGGTGAGCAATGTTTCCTCAATCAAATATTTTCACACTTTATAGTTACCATTGATATTTCAACAATATTCCTGGTTTCACATTTTTTTATAAACACATTTACACACACACAGTACAAACAGCAGTTATTACTTGTGAATAATAGCCGATGGTGAGCAATTTGGTCAGCGTTTATAAATATTAAAGCTGCTGTGATGCTCCTGACCAAAATGATCTTGAATAGTAACAATCAGATTCTGTACAAGGAATCAGGGCCAACTCGAAATCAATAACTGATATTCCTTCAGGCCAATATAGTGAGCAATATATAAATTACATAATTACATAAATAGATGGAAAAATTGACATAAACCATGGATTGCATTGAGACATAAAGCACCTGTGCTGACCCGTGACAAAACAAACATATACACACTACATTGTAATATTTATCATATATAGAGATCCAGTCTTTTAATTACACATGTTTTGCAAATCACTGCTGGCTATAGCCAATGTATCCCGTAATCTACGAGTGATCTGTACTAAAGGACATGTATACATATACTAAATGACACATTAACCTTGAGTAATTTATACGTATTACAGAGATTTGGAGTATACGCTAGTTGATTATAACTGGCAGAAATATGATAATAATTATGATAAATAAAATATATTGTCAATTTTTCACAAATTATATTACCTGAAACAGCGATATGTAACAAAAGCTATAGTTATTTTTACTTTTGTGTCAAGTCTGTATAAATGTCAGCCAAAATGAAAATTTAGAATAAGGCTTAATTATTCACTAGATTTTATTTTTCTTATTTCACTGCTAAATATGTTATGTATATTTTATTATGCTAGCTAATAATCAAATTTAACAATGGAATGTATTGTTTTATTTAAAAAAACAGTGAATATAAAATCAAATCCACTAAAATTAAACCAACTATCAAACCTGTGCTCAGTGACCACCTCTACTGGTATATGAAGACCACCTGCCTATAGTGACCACTTTTAAGGCAAAACATATGAGCAACCTTTGTATAAAGACCATCTGTACTATATGACCACCATTTCAGCAATATTTTCATTTGCTTTTAGCATTCTGTTTATCAAACAGTTTTTAATTTCCTCAAGTTAGTACTTTTAAGTTTAGCCACCAATTTTATTTAATTTTGATAACCCAAATAAATGTGCTTTTTATTGCAAACGTACCATCTTATTATTTTCTGAACAAATATTATGTTGGCTACCCATAATAAAAAATCCAACGTCAATATAAAGACCACCTGTCTATTAAGACCATTTCAATGACTTCCCTTGGGTGGTCATTATACACAGGTTTGACTGTATTTCTAAAACAGGATGCAAACCACTCATATACCATTCCATCTTATATATTGCAGTGAAGTTCTCAAATAGAGTGCTCAGTCAGTGTTAATATCTACATGGCATTTGGAGAATTTCAGTAAGAGATAATTTCTTGAAACTTGTACTGTGAAAACTACTATTAATAACAGTATTTTGTACATTTGGATGGTGCAGTGTGCAATCCTCATAAACTTGAAAGTGCATCTGCATTGACAGTGTAATTGACGTAATACCGATGTGACTGGATCTATACATATGATTATACAATTACCAGTACACAATTTACCTGTTGATGTATGTTTGCATGTGATTCCTTCTCCCTTTCAAGCTTAGCGCATTCCTAAATGCAGATATAAGGATATTGTGTAATCTAAACAAGCAATAACTACGATAGATAGAACTCAACCCATCCCACCAAAGAGAGACATCTCCATTCTAAAAACACATCAAGTGTGATCAAATGTTGTTTCTCTGGCCTGAAGATTATGTCTTGTTTGCAAAACTTTGTTACGATAACAAATCTATATCGTTATGACTCAATTTAGAATATTCTCATTTGCAGACTGCTTTAGAGATGTTTGGTGGCTGAGTATTGAGAATGTTAGTATGTGTAACTGCATTTGTCCCATTAAGAGGAAAATCTTATTCATGGCTAAACAAAGCCTAACTCTGAAAGATCCTTGACCATGGTTCCAAAATAATAGCGATAACCATGTAATATCAGGTTATTACGAAAATACAACAAAGTATGCACAGAGACAGTACAGTGACTGTACTGATCAACGTATAGCAGAGGTTGATACATTACTATACTGCCTGAGTACATACTTTGCGGTATTCTTGTAATATTATTATACATCTGTGTAAACATGTGCTATAATAATCACATTTACTTTTTTTCTGAATGTGTTTAAAACCACAATGACGGCAACCAAATGCAGTTACAAGATACTAAAAAAGACTGCCTGGCATCTTATCTCTGTAGTATGTATAATACATTATACTAACATGTCAGGCAAAGAGTGACAGTGAAATGACAAATATTATCTATAGCATGCGGTCGTTAATAAAGGTACTTTTAAACCAAGCACACCCAAGATGGCAGGACACACACAGAATAAGAACCACCTCATACGCAATATTTTATTAACAGTTGTAATCATGACATAAAAACACACAGAAATGATAGAATATTATTTATCCACCATATAAATGCACATGCAAAAACGTTTACACCAACAACATGCAATTTTGATTTAAATAATGTCATGCAAATAACACAACAATGACAAATTATTAATATCGAAATATTAAAAAATTTTAAAATAGAATATTGCTAACAAACATATATTTTTTTAAATTATATAATTAACATCAGGCAAATTAGGATATATATACATATTTTTTAAGATTCTGTCATTCTTCCAAATGTTAGTGAAACTGAGAAACTTGTTTTACGTGTTTTATTAACAAACTTGTGGACTAGTACTAGTCATACCTAAACAAAAATATTTTGCAATAATTTTGTTTGCAACCCAAAATGAGACTGGAGTTGGCACAACAGAAAAAAGACTTTATTCCTGAAACCACATAAGTTTTTTTACATTTTCTTATTTCAATTCAACAATGAATGCTCTAAATGGAATTAATTAGTTAAATGTAGAGGAGGCATGGATATTGTTTTAATAGTGATTTTGAAATGTAGCGAGTTTCCCCAGTTAGTATTTTGCCTGATGGTTTAGTTTATTGAACATAATACAGCATACACATATAAAACCTACCTTAGATGATGATTCAACCATTACCTCAGCAGTTGAAAGTTTTTTGATAACATCAGCTAGCTCCTGTAAATGGTGGAAAAAAAAGAGTGATGAAAGAAATTATAATTTCAGGACTCCAGAAATTAAGTGTTAAAATGAGGTTTCTGATAAAAAACAAAACAATCAATTATCCAAACAGACCTGTTGCAGTTGACCAATGTGTTGCTCTTGTTTACTGTTTTTTTCTTCCAATCTCTGCAAGTCGTTATTGAGTCTGTCCACCATCTGGTTCAACATAGCATTCTTTTCTTGCAGCATTTCTCTATTTTTATCGTAATCTGTCTTCATCGACGTCAGTAGATTATCTAATTTGCCCTATATTCCAAAAAACAAGGTTTATCAATACAAAAGACTTATACATTGATTTTATTAGAAATCCCAATATCAGCGAGCCTTCATAGTTGTATAACTTGCTCCTATCATTCTGTGTCAAAACAAACAAACTTACTTGGCTGCCATTGCTTTCATACTTCATTTGTGATAATTCATTCTGTGTACTTGCCAGTCTGAAAGAAACAAACAGTGGCACCGGTATAGGTTTTTAAGTACTGGCATGCAATAAGAATTTTAACAATTACAGATAACAACTTAAGAGAAAGCTCATATGGTACAACAATCACTGGGATTAATGGCAAAAAACCACTAACTATTTAACAGCCGTACATAAAGATTATTAGTCATTTTTCACAGGTGTGATGTTGATTATATAGTAAGGTATAAATTTCTTCACACACAAAGCATTGATGTTATATATATATAATTCATTTGCATCAAAGATTTATAAAATAAGGCAATGCAACTGGTATATATGTGATGAAGATTCAAAAATGAAGACATGCAGATTACAAAATTATAGATAGATTTGTACAAGTACTAAAATAAATGAGACTGAAAGAACTGGATTTTGTTCGTCTAAGACTGTTTCCCTAGTGTTCTTGCTCATTTGCAAAGTTGAAAATCTCTTACTTATTTCTATTTACACAATAAAATCATTCTAAGCATCTACTGCATTCAGTTATGCTATTGACTAGAAATACTACATGTACACACATTTCTACCAGGACTGTGATGAACAAACCCACATATACAGTGTAGTAGTACAGTGCATACACGAATACAGCTTCATGTGGTTATCTTTCATTCTCACAGATATGATGTACTAACCTGTCATTGGCAGATTCCAACTTGGCCTCCATTTTGATTTTTTCTTCCTGGATTGTCAGAAGAAGAGAATCAAGATTATCATTTGACATCCACAGAAGAAATTAGCAAAGGCAGATACACATCAGTGAACACAGTACATAAATAACTGTATACGTACCTTGTCTTTCATTAATTCCTTCTCCACACTTTCCAACATGGATTTTCTCTGATCCAGTTCTCTTTGTAAGGATATTAACTGACCAGATTTCTCAGTCATGTTAAGAGTTGCTATGTGTAACTGAAAACAAAAGTATATTTTAATAATTTATAAAAATGAATGATGTGTTGCATGGTTGGTTTGCACATTACATTGTAGTTTTATCACAAGTGCGTGATTAGACTTCAAATAAGTTACATACAAATATAACTAACAAGGACGGACATGAATACCAATGAAGACAGTCTTTGGTCACTTATTGTGGCAATGGTCAAAATATCACCAGCATATTTTGAATTGTCAACTCTTCTTGGAAAAGGAATGCCATTTCATATTGGATACTAGTACTCATTGAGTGAGAATCAAAACAGTCTGTCAAAAAGGTCACTCCACATTATTGTTGATTGGTACCACTACATGTACATCAACAGGGTCCACTCAACAAGTTCAAACGCCAAATCAACTTTTCCATATTTCCTTTAAAAACTCAATCAAGACTTGCAGACAATGGAAAATTATGTCCATTTAGTCAAAATTACCAATTTGAAAGAAATCATTGAAAAATACATAAATATGCAAAATGTTGACAAACACAGTTACAACAAGATTGATATTATTACCTCATGTTCTAAACTCTTCACTCTGCTTTCAGCCGCACCAAGGCTCTGTGACTTCGACTGTGAATAGAAAACAGTGAATTTAGAAAATAAAAGTGCAATTTTCACAATCACTATAATTACAGCTTATAAAAGAGAAAACTACAAACCTGTAGACTATCTCTTTGGTTGGACAATTCCATTTCTAATCTCTCATTCGCCCTCTGCAGTTCATCACGGTCTCGTTGACTAGAACTGATTGGAAAAAATATTGATAAGTTAGTCACATGTACATGCAGTCTTGATTATAATCACTATTAATGTGCGTGGTAATATTGACATATTCAAGTGAATTTGTGAGTTGTATATTTTACATTCCAAAAAGGGATATGGTAAATTTTATATATATTTGGTCTAAAAAAAAACACAGTGAACTTTCGGAGAAGCGCCAAGATTTCAACCAATGTTTTGCTGGGAACAATTGTGTCACTGTAGGTCACACCATGCAGGGGAATCATGCAGCAAAGATCAGACTAATAAAACCCTTCACCACACACTACTATATTTCACCAGTAATGAATCAATCTATCAATCAGGTAATACCATGCATGAGAAAATATGATATTGAACAAACAGAGCTGATTGTAGACTAGAAGCCAATTACATCCCGATATAAGGAACCAATCAATAAACAGCAATATAACAAAACAAGCATATTTGGGAAATTGTATTCACCTATCTGGAACACTGTATTTGAAAATGATGAAGAAAAAAAAGGACAAAACAAATATTCATAACTTTCTCACCACAGAAAGCTCCACAAAATATGCATAGTTCAAGAATTGAATAAAACATGAAAACTGGGGTAATTATATTCACGTGGTGAATGCCAATGAGACATATTTTTCTCATTTTAATGATCACATTGAATTGAAAAGCAGCACATGTATGGTATAGATGCAATATGATATATTTACATGATTGAATACATTTATTTTATGCAATTCAAATGTGAGTAATGCAAAAGACCACATTCCTGCAACATAGATTACTGACAGTGTACGTCGTGTTATGCTTGATCCAATTTTCAGATGACAAAATTAGGGAGTTACATGTACTAATTATTTCTTAGCGAGGAAAAGAATTTAAGGACACCGTACCGTTCTACATCACTCTTCGTTTGCTGCGCCCTCTCTAGTTCATGAGTTAATGTGGTTACTCGTGTATTCAAATTCTTGACCTGAAACATCAAAATTGATTGTGTTAAGTAGTTGTAAATATGAATAGGTAGTGAAGAATTAACACAAATTTTTCACATTTAACTAACAGCGAAAATAAAACCTACAGAATAAGTTTATCAGATTTACAGTTTATTTTCAATGAATATAAAGCAAAATGACATGTTAGACAGACAGACAAGCTAATTATCATAATTGAGTGGTTCACCAGATGGAATAACTTGGAATACGGTCATTTGCATGTCTTATCAATGGATTGTTACAGTGTGGGTATTAATTAAGCAGCTAAGAATGAAATCAGACAAACATGAAAATAATTCTACAACACATGCACATACCTCTTGTTGTAATTTATCTTTCTCAGCCTTCTCTTTCTCATAGTTTGTCACCAGTAAGTTGTTTTCAGCTTTAGCTGCACCAAGGTGTGCATTGTAAGTCATTGTAGCGTGGGCCAATGCTTCCTCATTCAACCTCTGTGAAATGTAAACATAAAATGTAACATCAACAAGAGCTGCTAGAGGTATCTTGACGTTTGGCAATCCAGATGGCATTGACCGAAACAAATTCTACACACATACACATACAAATTTAATCTGAGCACTTACAATAGTATGTCAGGACACTTATTCATAACATTGCTTATAAAAGTTTTCCAGTCTAATGAATCAAACACTTTAGTCTGTGAAACTGTTTGTTTTGTCCCACGTGATTTAGACTGTACTATTTGAAATCTATTCTAGCAGTGTCTACCTTTATATGATTGATTTCAATTCTCAGTACCAAGTTCAGTGTGGGGCTTAACTCTACCAAGGGTAATCCTACAGCCCAGGATAAGTAAAATTGTCATTTGACAACTTAATACTTTAAACATTAATGTCAAGCCCTGTGAGGTGAAAGCTTACAATTTACAACTTACAATATCATTCTTGAGTTCGTCGACACGATTGTTCATTTCTTCATTTTCCATGGCCAGCATACCTTGGTCGTCTTTGTATCTCATTCTAACTCTTTCCAACTCCATCTGTAAATAAGTAGTCACAAACACACACTGCTGTTACTAGTTTTTATAGGATTAAGCTGTATGGAGTATGTAACAATTTTTTTTTTAACAAAATTTAGCGTTCACTAATAGACAATAGACATATTAAATAGCTACTGAAATCTTGTTAAGAGTAAGAAGACTTGTTTTTGACATCAAATAGTGTTCCATTCTCTCTCATCAATGCATCCACAGTACAAACAAGATGTCAAGATCAGTGTATGCAATGACAGGAGAGAATGCAGTACAACAACAAGTCTTCCGGTTTTCCTGCTCTCAACAATATCTCATTGGTCAGTTGCATCCAATGTCTACTCAGGATGCAGGTAACTCTTTAAAACTTACATCTTACAATAAGATTTTCAGTTAAAATGACAGTTTATATTATAAGTATTTTTTATTTAAAGTGCTGTGAGCATTGATGAATTTCAATATCACTTTTAAAAACGGATACACAAGTTATTGAACTTCTGACACCAACATTTGATACAATCGATTACATTTTTCTGGCTATATTACAGTGGAAGTTACTTACTTTTAGCCCATACAATTCAGCTTTGAGTTTATCACTGTGGTCTAAAGCGGATTTACGATTCTCATCAGCAGCTTCCAGTCTAGTGAATATTTCAGCCTACAAACCAGAGATAACACACAGTACTGTATGAGATGCTATGTACAACAATCAATACAAAGGGTCAAATAAGTCGCATAAAACAACTCTGCTTATACCGGTAGATAAAATGAATTATTTATTTACACGAAATTGGAACAGGCATGGTTGAAACTGCTGCCCATTGCATATGTCCCAGAATGCATTTGTTCAATTGTGATAGTGTTTTTATCAACTGATATAAATATACATGGTAAGAGTAATAACATACAGTGGGAACTCATTAACACCCAAAAAGGTAAGGTAACACCTAATATGGACCAAACAACTATAAATAAAGTTAATTATAACTTAACACAAATAAGAGTTAGCTTAATGATTCTAGAATATTATTGAAAATAAGATTGATAGTTTTTACATGCATTACCATATTTGCTCTATTAGAAAGATGCAACTCCAAGAAGAAAAGCTCATTCGAATGTACCGGTAGTCTGTTTTGTTTATGAATTGACATTTACGTATAAATCACATGCATTTTTAACAGAGCAAATAGTACCTAAGTATTAACAATAATATAAAGAGTACCAAAAAAAAAAAAGAAAGGCTGTGGGGAAGGAATCATGCATTGATTTTATTGTTTTCATAAAATATAACAGGCTTGGACATTGACAAGGACATGCATATAATTGTACATGATGTCAGTTTAAAATGACATGGATTGCAACACAGAACTGACGACGACGATGATGACTTGTACCTTTTCTTCCTGAAATTGTTCAGCTTCCTGAGAGTAGTCAAATTAGCAAACAGAAAGAAAGGATAAGAAATGCAATTGAATAAGAGTGCAGTTTTTACAAAACTTTGGAGGTGAGTTCTCCTATTGGATGAGGTTCTATTTTCATGAACAACAAGTTGAAAAATAAAAGAAAGCTCCTAGAATCCCCAAAACTATGATAATTTACTCCTATTTGATATGTATTGTGTTCAACACTCATATAGAAGATGAGTAACTTTAACACATGTAGGTATTGTCGAAACATGAAAGCGCACAGTGCAATGGAATACATGTATAGATAATGATATTTTACGAATAACTTGATATTATAAAGCTACGCATTATAACTAGGACCTAGTGTCTTTGTAATATGTACAGATTTAGAAATTTCTAGAGTGCTGAGTGAAGATGAAAGGAACGATAGTGATACATCGGTGTATACATCAGATGGATAGTGCTGAGTAGTAAGAATGCTGAACTGCAACTGTGAACTCTTTTTTTTCCTATGACCTAATTATTACAGAGAGGGACTAATTTACCAATATGCTTTGTATTTTTATTTTGATAAGGAAACAAACATTTTGTCAATGAAATATACATCAAAATATCTAGAATTTGCAACATGTATGTGTATGGATGTGTAAAATGCATTGTTTAGTTACACAAAATTCAACTGAAGCTGTGTGATGATCCCCACAATACACATTGCAGTTATGACACTTGTACATGTGATATGGTTCTCAATGGGTTGTGTTCTTGACAGACAAAACTGGCTATTTTGATATGATCCATTTTCATCACGTAGAAACCCAGTAGTACATATACATGTTACCTGTTGCAGCGCTTCATGAATTTTAGTGTGATCTTGACTGAGTTGTTCTTGTATGATCCTGGCACTACGTTCTTGGGCAAGTTCTTTTCGTGTTTCACCATTGTCTTCTTGCAACTATAGGAAATAACAAAAAAATGAGGAAAAATAAAAAAATATTTGATAGAAAAATTTTAAAAGATTATTGCAACTGAGGGTTATATGAAGATTTTTCACCTCGGCTTTGCCTTGTAAATGATTGTTTTCATCAGGAAGACACATCTCCATATGCCCTTAAGCTTACATGTGATTTGCATACACTTGAGGGGTAAACATGTACTTTGATTTATTTCATTCATGTGAAAGTCTCTTTTCCAATAAGCTCGGCATACTAGAATATGAGTGATGACAATGGCTTCTAGTCTTGTACAAGCTCCCCCCCCCCCTCAAAAGGTTTGTATTATGTCACAGGGAGAAGGGTAAAACTATTATGTTTCGAAAACAAGATTTATGTTCAGTGTTTAACACTAAATTAAATACTTGCTTTTTAATACATGTATTGAAG